ACAAGCTTTTATTTTAATCCAGCTTGAAACAAAGATGATATGTAGATGATGAGCAAACAGTTCATTCTTCTGGGTGAACCTTAAAAATGAGGTACTAGCATGTACAGAACAACAAGAATCCTAACAATATTGCTAAATAAATAATAGCAACAACAGAAAAATCTCCAAGGTGTATATCTAAATACTATCATGGTATACGTCTGCTGAGTGATGTGGACCAGTTTAGGAGCTGCTAATGTGGGAGTCTTTGTGGAAGCACTGTCCTCCAGTAACCAGTGTTAACTAGTTCAAGTTCTTCAGCACTTGCTGGCTAGTAGAAGTGTCTGAACTCTGAGGGTGTCCTAAGAATCTGAAACACCATCCACTTACTGAAATCCTATCCTTTCTTTTCTTAGGGTCTACCTCGCCTTCTTAGGAAGATGGTAGATATCTAATGCAAAGGGGACAAATTCTCAATTTTAGACTGTTAGCATCTGTTTGGAGATTTGCAGGTTGATATCATTATCCTCAATATAGGTATTATCAGTTTGTCAACAGCATTGATGCCTAAAAGTCCCCTGAATACCTGGTCCAGTTTATTATGGAGCATCTATACAATGAGGTTAATTCCCCAAAATATTTTATTCCCAATACCACTTATCAAAGGGGTGTCATGTGCCCATAGGTATGTGGATGGAACATGTAATTCAGGATGTGATAATGGATCCTGACATTGCAAATGCTGAATATTTTTGTCCTGTTTATCTTTAATATGTCCTTATCATTGGTATTAGCTACTAGGTTATTCTAATTGGAGACAAACTCCCAGTTTATGTGAATTCTTCTTACCATGAGAAGACTATTGGTTCATTGTATGCTAATTACACAAGTTTACTGGTGCCTTTTCTTGGAAGCCTTACACTTCCTTTTTTTATTATTTTTATTAACTCCACAAATACATTCAACTGAACAAGTGAAAAATATTGAATAAAATGTCCTCATGGACCTGTTTTTTCCTCTAGCTTCTTGCATAATTTCATGATGCATCTTGACCCTTAAGATTCTCATGGGAATAAGAAGAAAGGCAATGGCAAGCATCTAAGAAAAATGAACATGGGGACTTTCATTGGGCACAACCTAGGGTCAATGGGAGTGGGTGAAAAATGCCCCCAAAAAAGCAATAATTTTGCTCTGCTTTGTTTCTGAAGTATGATAAAACTGAACAAAAATCTAGATCATTGTATTTTCATTTACTTGTTACTCAAGCAAAATTTTTGCTGGCATCTGTGTTGAGTCCTTCCTGAGTGAAATTTCTAGGATTTAGTCCTTTAATGAGAACAATGAAAGAAAAATAATTAATGGGGAAAGAAGTAAAAGTACTGAAGATGGTGCCAATACACTAACTATACACTTAAATTTACACTGCCTGTTCATTTAAGCAAAAGATGATACAGAATAAGGTCAGGGGAAATCATCCTATATGCATCCCTAAAGATATCCGATATATCCAATGACAGCAGAGCCCTGTTTATTCAAAATACTTTTGGAACATCAAAACATTTGGATAAACAAGGTTTCAAATAATTGAGGGAGTTATTGTATAAGTAATTCACACCAGGGGGACATAACCCAGATTCAAGGGAGTGAGTTTCAGATCAAAGGGGTACAGATAAATGGGATTTTGCTCTATATGAACAAATAAAATAAAAAGAATTTGATTATTCAGGAATCAAGAAATGTCCAAACATTTTTTCAAAAACAGTTTAGGATGAAAGGTCAAAATTGTTGCCATAGGCTGTACAGAAGATTATTCCTATGGAATCAAAATAACAAATAACTAAATGAGACCAAAAAGGTGCTGGGGTTTTTTTTTTTGTGTGTGTGTGTGCATGTGTGTGTTTTTTGTGGTTTTTTTGGTTGTTGTTGTTTTTTTGGTTTGTGGTGTTTTTTTTTTTTTTAAACTCACCAATCTTCCAGTCAGGATCATATGAACTTGACCAAGTTTTTTGATCTTATTCCAGCTGTGACACTGACACATATTTAGTGGTGGAAGGTGGGGATTTGTAACATTTGTGGCTCTCTAACTCATTTTCCCCAATGCCACATAGAAGCAAACTGTAAAATACACAAGTTGGGTCTTAGATGGACAATATTGTCTGATTGCTCATCTTTCTATTAATATCATGACCCAGATATGGTTTATCTACATACAGACATCATCATCTCCTATTAAATGCCCTTTAAATTACAAATCTTGGAATTTAAAAAGATGTTAAGTATAAAAGATCTATGCTTATATTCACCAACTGCATTGTTAATATGGTGGTGTGGATAATTTGCTAATTTAGACAAATAAACAGTCTTTTCCTTTTTCTGAAAGTTAGGCTCACATTCCCATAATTCAGTATTGCCCCTTACTGTCTGTGTAGGGACCTTTTAATATAAGTGCGGATGGCAGAGGAGAAGACAGACTCAAGATTTACAGGTCTCAAGTTACAGGTCTGAGAACCACACTTTTCAATTTCCCCCCCAACACTTGACTTCTGCAGCTAAAAGCCCAGCCAGGAGAGTGCTTCTCCCGCCACGGTGCCTCACCTCGAACAGCCCCATCCTGGCTCGTAAGCCATGCGGGAAGGAGGGCCCCCAAGGGATGGCATGTGCGGAAGGTGCCTTCTGCCTCAAGTTTCAGAGACGTTTTTTCAACCGTGTCGCAAGATGTACCAGATCGTCCTGTTGAATCCGTCCTGACGTTTCTGGGCTTCACAGTTGGGTTTTCGAGCCCTCGGGTCTGTCAGCGCTGCCAGGTCCAAGTCCTGCGCCATACCTGGAGCAGGTTCGCTTCGTACCACAGGCAGGCTGTGCCTCACCCCTCGGCCGTGGGGCAGGTCTCGTAGTACTGCCAGCCGCCCATTTAGCCGTCGGCCCTAACAGCCTGCCTTAGGCCTCTCCACAGGGGGACTCCACGCAGTCCTCCCCCCCGACCCCAGGCCCCCTACGGACCACTTTTGGCGGGAAGAGCGGTGCTGCGCCGCCGCCATGTCGCCGTGGCTGCCAGCAGGGCCCGCTGCCTCCTCTCTCCTCCCCCCCTCCGGTCCACGCGGCTCCGCCGGGGGCTGCAGGGCAGAGGGGAGGGGAGCATGGCGTGGGGAAGGGCCGCCCCCGTTGTTGGCGTCGTTTTCCCCAACTGCTTTTCCTTCCTCCTCAGTGAGGAACTGCGGGCTCAGGTGCGTGAGACGGCGTACCGAGGCTCTGATGGGGGGGGGGAGAGAGCGAGGAGAGTGAGTGTGAGGGGGAGCAAGGATGAAAGAGGAGCAGCTATTGGGCTTGCGGTAAGGCGAGGGAAGAACAATGCTTAATGAAAGAGTTGGGGGAGGGAGCTTGGAGAAATGGCAATTTGGAGTTGAGTTTAGTAGGGGAGGAAAGTAAACATCTGGGGGGGCTGGATGGGGTAGAGGTTGCCGTTGGAAAAACGTAGAGGCAGTCCTCTCAGCAGAGAAGGAGTTTCAATGGGTGGTCACACAGGGTGAGGTCTGGAGGGGGGAGAAGAGGAATGGGCACGGTTTGGGGTGTTTTGGAGTTTGCTGGCAGCTTGCTGCAGCGGCACGGTCTGGAAGTGAGAAAGGATGAACCATAAAGAGCAAAGCAGGGGAAGGCCAAAGCCAGTGTTGGGGTTTTGTTTCCTGAGGAGACAGAAGGATACCTTTGAATTGCTTTAAGCTTTCGATCCACTGGCTTGGTTTCCTCCCACTTCCTCACCTTGTTAACTCCTCTGCAACCTGTTGGGTAGAGTTGTGTCGTCTGTGATACAGGTAAAGAGCCAATTTCTAGTTTTATTCCAATTTACATCAGCAGCTGCTGTCTGTAGATACAGGTATTAAAAAAAGGTAAATTTCCCTCTTTAAAAAAAAAACCACAAACCCAAACCAAGCAAACCTGAAATAGTCTTTTCTCTCAATGAGCAACAGATAATGATAAGGCTGGTTCAAGTTTTGCCCTCTCTTTACTCTCCCTTTCTTTTACAGGCTTGTCAAGGCCTCCCTCTCTGACTGAAAAATCCTTGCTGTGTGTTGTGTCTCAGTTGCAATTTGATAAGAATATCTCGACCAGTTTTCTGTCTGGAGTGGAGCAGAGAAGAGGAGGTAAAAATGGAACTTGCGTGTGGTAATGGTTTCAGCTTGGTAGCCCTGGAGTCTGGCTGAAACTGTTGTGTGGTCCTGAATCCAGAAAGTACATAGGCTTGTGCCTGACTTGAACCATATCTGCAGAGTCTTTTATTTCATCCAACTCCTTAAGCTCTGAAGGTTAAACACAGGCATAAGCACTTAGACAAAAACAGTGAAAGTTTTCTTAGGCTGCTAGTATGGGGCCTGTGGATTTGGGAATCAGTTCCTATTACCATCTCATCCCTGGATTTTCTGCTGCGTTTCTAATTAAGGTAGCGGCCATTCCATTTTTGATCTGTTCATCTAAGGACCTGAAGTCTATTTGCTCCCATCAAATTCAAAAGCAGGTCTGTCACTGAGTTCAGTGGTTACAGGATTGGCCCTGTTTTTTTCCTGTCTTTTTTCTCTTTGCCCCACCCCTGCAAAGGCTCTCTTTAAGGGGTAAAACCCACAGAAGATGGAAGTGCTCCAGAATCCAACAGAATCAATAAATTTCTCAAGCTCATTTTCAGAAGTATTTTTTTCCCCCCCTAATTCCTGCCACAATCTCAGCCTTTCTTTTAATACTCTGGAAGTACAGCTGCATTAGTGGAGTATAATTCAGAAGGGGAAAAAAAAGTGTGTTTGGGACTTAAAATAATATACATGCTAAACTATATTTAATTGTGCCTTATCAATAGACTGATAAACTTAGGTGTTTGCTGTTACCATTGATCATGATGCTCTGTAGCAGGCAGAGGCAGTAAGTGCTGCTGATGGAAAAGAAAAGGTAGTGGAAGGAGGAGGGGAGAAGGAGATAGGAGATGCGGGGATTGGCTGCTTTTAATGTCAGTCTCAGCTGCGGGCCCCAGCTCTTCCGCTGCTCTAGCTCTGGCTCTCCCTTGAACAGCTCCTAGAGAGAACAAGGCGTGCGGAGCTCGGATCACCAGCATCATGCTCCTTGGGCTTGGATCGTAGATCCCCCTCTTTGAACATTAAAATAACTCCTTCGTCCATCAGCGTCCCAGGCAGACCCAGCGAGAAAACGCACACGTGAGAGACAGAGGAAAGAAAGAGGAAGAAGAGAAAAATCCGCAACCGAGTGGACTAAAGCAAAGAAAAAGAGTGCTTTGCTTGCACAGCTGCAAAGTGGGAATTTAAAGAACTGCAGAGGGAGAAATTCCAGCTCATCAGCACATACACATTGCAGAATTACAGATCCAGGTAGAAATGACATCAACAGGGAAAGAAGGCAGCGGAGCTCAACATGCACAATATGTTGGACCCTATCGTTTGGAGAAAACCCTAGGAAAAGGACAGACAGGTTGGTTCTTTTACAGCAGCATAGGCGCTAGGGGGAAGGTGCTCTAGCAGCCAGTGAGGTGTTGGGGATGGGATATTTGAGGGTTCAGGTTTTCCCATTTGCTGTTTTAGTGGAGGTAATATTCATAGGGGATTTTTGCCTTTATTTATTTAGTTTTCATTTTAAATCTTTCTTTTCTTTTTTCCTTTAAAAAAAAAAAAAGGAAAAAAAAAGCCCAGGATGCTTTATGTTCATTACTCCTGCTAATGGGTGTTGTTCTGATGACAGCCAGAGTGCATGCAGAGGAAAAAATAGGTGATCTGCTGGTGGTGAATTTTCACATCAATTTCTTCACTGCCCTACTTAGGAGCATTTTCTTTTTAATCAAATTATATTGAAATGAAAGGTTCACAGCCTGTAGTACCAAGGAGGAGGTGGTGGTGGTAGTGGGGGAGTCACCAGCAGTATTTCATGACATCATGATTGAAAAGGGTGTAGTCCTTAAGGTGCAGTTGGGGGGGTGGAAATATGTACAGTATGTCTGTGGCACTGACTGCTGTGGGTATTTAGCAAATATGGATGGATGGGCTGGTGGTTTTTGTGGGTAGGGTCTGAAATAAAAGAAAAATAGAGGATTGGTAGCAGAATTAATTCTGGTTATGCTGTGTTTTTGTAGGAGGGATTTGGGGGGGAGGGGAGGTTATTTAATTATTTTTCTTAAAGCTTGTTTATGAAACTCGCCCCCAGCAGATTTTCCTGAATGGAACAATGGTAAGAAATATTAAAAGGAGGAAACCAAGTGGAGGGAATTAGCAGAGAGCAGGTGCTTCTGCCCTACATGACATAATTAGATCCCCTAAATGCGTTCAAGATCTGGACTTACTGTTGCTTGCTTGGATAGTATATTCACTTCAAGGGCAGGGGAGCATTAATTGGAAGAAAAACCCTTAAAAAGAAGCCCAAATGTTCTCTTTATTTAATTTTTTTTTTTTTTAGTAACAGGTGCAATAAGCAATGGCATGTGGCAAATTCATTGGGTTGGGAGCCCCCCAAAAGTGGATTGAGACTTGAGATTATAATTTAGGGAAAGGGGAAGATCAGCCATAGGGGGGCTTCTTTGGGCATGTGGGTGTTAAGTGTTGTTCATTATGGTGGGACAATAAAACATGATGCATTGTGGTGTATTTTTTTTTTTTTTTTTATAACCCAGCCGAGCTTTGCCCATCTGTTGTCTAAAGGATTTAATAGGCGTTTCCATCCCCAGCTGCTGCCTCTGCTCTGCCTGCTTCCTCGCTGCCCTGCGTGGCAGCAGCTCTGCAGTCCGCAATTTTCTTGGGGACACAGTCAAAATCCAGATCTTTCTCTGTAAGAAGCAATGCTCTTCTGAGATGATTGATTATAACACCCCCCTCCCCCCCATCTTTCCCCTCCTCTTCACAACCCCATAGCAACCGTTCAGAGACATGGATGAAGATGACATTGTCTTCTAGTGAAAGTGACTTTTATTTATATTTCATTTTTTTTCAAATCTCTTCAGTGTATCAGCTGCTAAAGGTAGCTCTCTGTCACTGTTTTGGTTCACACCTTTATTCTTCGCATAGCTCAATAAGCCCTTACTTCTGCAGCTGTATTCTTGCTAAAATCTGTTCTGATGATGATAATGAAAATACTCTACAAAAAAATTGCAGCGTATTGGTAATGAAACTGCCCTATTTCTGCTGGTAATCCTTTCCTGGATACTTCGGGTGATCAAAGAGCCAGCTGTAGATGACAAATTCATTTTTGTCTTCATCACCATTTCCTTTTTTCTCTGTCTCTCACCTTCTCAGCACCCCTCCCTCCCCTTTAAATAAAATTGTGTCTGAGATTCCTCAAAATACAGTTGCATTAACCTTTTGCTCCATGTCTCATAGCCTGACGTTGTGGTCCTAAAGGGTTATCTGCAGCTTTGGTTATTTTTTTCCTCTTTGCTAATCTTCCTATCTTCCTCCTAAGCGATTAGAGATGTGGGGGTGGAGGGAGAAGAAGAGGATGTATTTAGAGTCTTGCTGCTGTTGGCCTCTGCAGTTATTCAACCAGCTGGACAAGGGTGAAAGTTTCCTTTTGCAGCTTTACCATATAACTGATCTTTATAGATAAGTCTCTGCTGTTTGCACACATGAATGCACATAAAATGCACAATGCATGGTGTCATAGAAGCTGGGGGTGGGGGGAAGAGGAAGAGAAATCTTAAAAGTAGCTGATGTCAGTCTATGTCTTCCTTGCTATACCCACCCTTGATTAATGGAATAATGCACTGAGGTGAAATCTAACTCGGTATTAAACATACACAGCTAAATATGGAAATATGCCTTCTGGTCTTCTCGCATTTTCTGTGCTAATCGCATTTGGGAGCATGCAGAATGGCATGAACAGTGTGTGGTACGTAGCTAGTCCTCATCCTGCTTGTTTTGGAGGGTAAGCAGGCAACCTGCAGCATTTTAGGGAGAGGACAACAAGCGCAGTATGAGGGCCTGATTGACCATAGTGTGTTGTCATGGTGTGTAACTTTGAATTTGGGTTGCAGTGGCATACAGCTGAAGAAAGTAGGGGTTGTAATCATTCCCTTAGAGCTTGACTTTAAAGCTTGGAAGATTAGGAGGTAATGGCTTGGAATATTTTTTGTTTTTTCCAGGGAGATGGGGAAGAGTGAGAAATAAAATCTGGCAAAATGTAATAATGAATAGAAAGAAAGTGTAAGTTGTGTTGCAAAGTCCTGTCCATTTTCCAGTGATCTTCATATCCATCATTTTTTATTTGAATAAAAAATTCTTGACTCTATAAAGTTATTTCAGATAGGCAGGTCTAGCTTTGCTCCCAGATACATTAATATTATACAAATGTATTAATCACTCTTACCTGCTTTTACTGAGCTCAAAAGAAAGGAGTTTTGGGAAAGAGCATGGGTTCATAGTTCAGGGCAGACTTAGAAAGGCTGCCATGGAGGGAGAGCTTAATGTTAAGTAGAACTCTCACTGTCTTTTCCTCTGTGAAGTTCTCACTGACTGCCACCTTAATAGCTGAAAAGAAGTGTTTACCAACAGCAGCCTGCTGGTCCCTGCAAAGAGGTCCAGTTGTTGTGTGTGGGACATTAGTGGAACCTGGTGACATCTGGCTGTGGGTGGGCAAAACTGACATGGAGAAGCCTTCAGTTCAAATTGGTGGGTAACAACTGTTGTTGAAAGTGTTGACTAGAATTCAAAATCGGGTATGGAAAATTTGTCCTGAGTGGCCTTCTGTGCTGGTGCGTCAAGCTTGCTGAGGGTGACTGATGCCACAAAGAGAGGATTAGGGCCTCTTAGTCAGAGAAGCTGGAAAAGGGCTACATGGGGCAGTGCTGAAAAATGTCTGTGCTTAGCTCTTTGCTGGTAATGGGAATGATAGAGGAATGAAGGAAAATTATTTTTAATAATTTAGCATACAAATTTAATGTATAATTTGAGTACTGTAGTAAGATGGTTTGCTGCTGTAATAGGTTGAATTCAGAGCACCTCTTCACTGCAGCTGGAGGAATAGCTCATGGAATCTGTGTTGGAATGATTTTGCAGGAATACAAGCAGCAGCATAATCTTAATTATTGTACTCAAAAAAATTATTTTACAGAATTGTCAGTGTAAAAAATCATTACTATATATATATGGGTGTGTGGGGAAAGGTTGGTTTATCCAAGTTTCATTGATACATTGTTCTACAGTTAATTATAGGAGGTTTTCCTTGTAATTAACACTAATGAATAAAGGATGTGTGTCATGTTACAGTAACACACGTGGAAACAGTGTGCCTTGAGAAACCCCAGTCACACCTGATCATGAAGCACTGTTTTAGTTTTAGATCAAACCGAGGCTTTTCTCCGTTTGCCACTAATTCTGTGTGAAATCAGCTTCTTGCATATTCTTTGCTTTATGTTTTTTTCTTTTTAATTCCACAAATATCTTTGTTCGTGTGTTTCTTTTGGCCTCATTAACCCTTATTTCACCCTTGAAATTCTTAAGAGTAATTCAGATTGACTGTAGTGAGTATTTATTAATGAGTACAAAGATGAGGAGCTGAAGTATTTCTTGTGCAGGGCTTCAGTGTTTTGGAGGGTTTTCTTGTGTTTTCATTTGACAGTCACTGTATAGGCTTCAGCACCATTGTTTGCTATGGCACCAATTCAATGTCTAGTTGAAATTTCCAAAATGCTGCTTTGTCTACAAGCAATAAGACATCGTCTCTAAGTGGGAGTTACCCATTTACTTTGAGATAAATTTGATGAAAAATTTAATGTTGCTGATCCATTTTGTCTTGTTCCTTTCATTCTGTTTTAAGCCCAGTTCTGCAGACATTCAATACAAAGAATCCTGCTTGAAACTCACACACTTCAACCTTTGCAAAAAGTGTAGGGGGTCCCTTTTCTGCATTGTGTACCATACAACTTACAGCTATTTTGATGTACAGCATGTTAGTTACGTATGAGCCATCAGTGAGGTGTTCAGCAGTATGATGTTGGGTTATGTAAGAACAGAAATCATTAAATTTGGGTCTTGGTGTATTTAATAGCCTTTTATTCAGTGAGAGCTTAAACAGGATGTTTCTTTACAGCCTTAACCACCTGTTTCCATGACATCAGCAGAAACTGAAATTTGTTAATTTTTTAATTTTCCTCTGTCAAATTTGGTTGAAATTGCAAGCTTCAGATCTATTTGAGGAGTGTTTGGTAGACAATGTGATCTCAGAAGCCTGGTTTCCTTTGGTAAGGAGGCTAAACAAAATATATCTTTTTTCATTCATACTGCTATTTTTTCTAAATATCTAAAGAATCTAAAGAGTACAGCTTTATTCCGTTTAGCTGTTTAGGTGAATATATCATTGTAGTTCCCCCCATGGCCTTTTTAAACAAACAAACAACAAACCAGTATATATTCTGTTAATGTTTTCATATATATATTTTACTTCCCTTAAAAAGTTTCTTTCAAAACAGTGAATCCATACCCTTTGTCATG